ATTATATATATTTATACACATATACATATACACACACACACACACACACACACACACACACACACACCGTATTTTTCGGACCATAAGACGCACTTTTTTCCCCCCAGAAGTGGGGGGGGAAAGTCCCTGCGTCTTATGGTCCAAATATAGCCTACACATATACTTTAAAAAAAAAGTTTTTTTACTTGCCCGGCTCTGTGTGGTCTCTGTGTGCTTGCCCGGCTCTAAAATGGTTCTAAATGCTGCTGTTTACTTTACAGGGTTGATTACATGTGTTTATGACTGTGATGTTGGGTTTTAATGCACATAAAATATTTTAGGACACTATTTGTTTCAGAATCTTTTTTTCTTCATTTCCCTTCTCTAAAAACTGGTGCGTCTTATGGTCCGGAGCGTCTTATGGTCCGAAAAATACGGTATATATTGATTATTGCTATAGGTTGGGAATAATTATGGCTCTCCTTATGGTGTATATAGGAACTATTCTGAAACAGAGAGAGTTCAAGAAACTGGCCAACTCAAACAGGTTAATAAGTGATCAAAACTTTTAAATTCCAGCACTCTGTTTTACTTTTTCCTACATTGTGAAAGCGGTGGTAATGAAAATGCACAATTGACTCTGAAAATGAGGCTCCTTTTACTCTAGCTGGTGTTTGTAAATGAACTACACATTCTATCCCTTGTCGAGCCACTAAAACATCAGTAATGGCTTAATACCATGCAGTCTGGTCATAACTGCCATTTAATGCGACACTCCTCACCTACGAGGATGTCATACCAAACTTACCTGGTGTTTCAGCGGCGTGGGTTGCCCTAACTGAACACCATAGGCTGAGTGGCTGGTAAGTAAAAGAAACACTTCTCTCAGTGCTGGAGGCCGGAAGTCCAAGATCAGGGTGCCTGCATGGCTGAGTTCTTGTGAGAACCCTCTCTGAGTTGTGGATTGACAACTTCAGACCAAGTCCTCACATGGCAGAAGGGGTGAGGGGCACTCTGGGGCCTCTCTCATAAAGGCACTAATCCCATTCATGACAACTTTACCATTTCTAATCTAATCATCTCCCAAAGACCTTCAAATACCATCACACTGGGCGGGGTGGGCGGGGGAGGTGTTAAATATTCAGTATACAACACTTGGAGAGCATTTTCAAAGGACTGCTCTAGAACTTCCTAGTCAGGAATTGGAGGGGCAGAGAAGGAAGGGGCACATATAGATTGAATAAGCTTCTGGGAACCCTGGCTGGTGTACTTAAGTGGTTAGAGCTTGGACCTGCTCACCATAAAGGGATGTCCCTGGGCTGCAGGTTCCAACCCTGCCTGGCCCAGGTGTGTGTGGGAGACAATCAATCCATGTATCTCTCTCACATGGATGTTTCTTTGTCTCCCCCTCTTTTCTATTCTCCCTAAAAATAATTGAAAATATCCTTGGGTGAGGATTAACAAACAAATAAAATAAATAAATAAAATTTTTAGAAAAGCTGGAAAAACCTCTCAGGAAGTAAAATGAGATGAAAAGAGAAAAGGTAAAAAAAAATGAGGAAGTTACTGTCTAGTCCAGTAAGTTCAATAGGGGAGTTCCAGGAAGAGAGAACCGCAAAAATGGAAAGGAAAAATTATCAAAGAAAACAATTCAGGAAAATTCCCTCGAATGAAAGAACATGACTTTCCAAACTGAAAGAGCTTCTTGAGCTCCCAAGACAATGGATGAAAATAAACCCACACTGAGGCACATCTTATTATTTATTTATTAATTGTTGTATTGTTTGTATTATATCTGTGAAAGTACTTTTGCTCGCCCTATATTCTAAAAGCTTTCGAGAAAGAAAAATAGGATTCTAAAAAGAAGCAGGTATCAGAATAACCTTGGACTTCTTGATGCCAGAAAATAGCAAAAGGAAATGATCTTTTTTTTTTTTTTTTTTTTTTTTTACTTCCATGATTTCTAATGTAGCGTTTCCCTGCCAAATTATTAAGGGGAAGGTAGTATATAGATTTTTCAGACGTGCAAGGTCAAAAACATTACCTCAAAGGCCCATTTCTCAGGAAGCTATCAGAGGATTTGTTTAACCAAAATAAGAGAAAATGAAATCCAGCATATAAGGTTCTGATACATGGGAAAGGTAGGTGGACGGTGAAAGGAAAATCTAAGGCCACAAATTTATTGGCTATCTAGACACATGACATAATACACTCACCGTGAATCTTAACAAAGTATTTTTAGTACTAACACTAAGCTGGGGTTCCCAGCAGAGAAAAGACTCATTCAGGGGTCAGATGAGAAATAAGCAAAGGGATAGGGGTGGTTTGGGGCTCTTTAAAATATATATCTGTATTGATTTTGGAGAGGAAGGGAGAGGGAGAGATAGAAGCATCAATGATGAATCATTCATCAGCTACCTCCTGCACGCCCCCTACTGGAGATCAAGCTCAAAACCCAGGCATGTGCCCTGACTGGGAATTGAACCATGATCTCCTTCCTGGTTCATAGGTGGACACTCAACCACTGAGCCTGGTGGTTTGGGACTTTTTTGTGATTAAAGGGTCAAGTCAGAATAGTGGGGAATTCCCCTGGCATGGGCTAGCCTGCATTACTTGAAATCCCCATCAGCTGTTGTAACTAAGAATTATACAGGAATTCTTAACTTAGTTGCCCAGATGTGGAACAGATAGGGGGGGGGGGGGGGGGGAATGGAAACTGAAAGCTGACAACAGTCAAACATAAAAAATGGAGTCCAGCCACTTTCTAACAAAATCTGGGTTACAGGAGGGAAAACAATTATTAACTCAAGAAAAAAAGTTGTATATGAAAAGATATATATTAATAGGATAGAATACTCTATGGCTCAGATACCCGTAACATTTACAAAGTCATATCAATTCAATATATAATTAAGTCCTAGTCATGTTGAAAAGACAAAAAAGGAAAGTGTGCATATATATGGTGGACATAATAGGATTTGTTGAAAATAAGCTGAATTTTCAACTCCAAGAGTTGGAAGTCACTGAATTATTTTTTAAAATAACAATGCAAACGTTCCAAAGGAATCAGGTAAAGTAGTTGATAGTGGTTGCCTCTGGGAAGGCAAAGCATAAGAGATTGTGGGACCCTAACCAGTTTGGCTCAGTGGATAGAGCATTGGCTTGCGGACTCAAGAGTCCCAGGTTCTATTCTGGTCAAGGGCATGTACCTTGGTTGCAGGCACATCCCCAGTCGGGGGGTGTGCAGAAGGCAGCTGATAGATGTTTCTCTCTCATGATATTTATTTCTCATCAATGTTTCTAACTACCCCTCTCCCTTTCTCTCTGTAAAAAAATAAAATAAAAATAAGCAAAAAAATCAATAAAATATATATATTTAAGGAAATGGTGGGCAGTGATATGGGAGAGGGTACATCGGAGGACTGCTGTTTCATTTGTTTGTTAACCAAACATATATCTTTATTGATTTCAGAGAGGAAGGGAGAGGGAGAGAGAAAGAAACATCAATGATGGGAATCATTGGTCCACTGCCTCCTGCACACCCCACACTGGGGATCGAGCCTGCAGCCTGGGCACGTGCTCTGACCAGAAATTGAACCGTGACCTCCTGGTTCATAGGTCAGTGCTCAACCACTGAGCCACGCCAACTGGACCATAGTACTCATCTTAATCTCTGTTTAACAAAAGTAATAACATCTTTTTATTAACATCTTTATTATTGAAAGTATTGCATATGTGTCCCTTTTTCTCCACATTGACCCCTTCTAGCCCGCCCCTGACCACCTAGAACATTTTCTTGAGTGCTTTTTATGAGCCAGATACTATGTGAGGTGCTGTAACCAGAACCCAGCTCTGGCTGCCTACCATCACAAAAACTAAACCCTTAAAAAAAAAAAAAAAAACAACCAAACCCTTGAGACAGATGCTGGTGAAAAAGGAAAGGTTTTTTTTTAAGTGCCAGTCACCTGAGGAAATGGGGGACTCTTGTCACAAAGCCTATCTCAACATCGCAGTACAGGCAGCGGTTTTTATAAGGAGGGAGAAGGAAAGCAGAACAAAGAAATCAAGGGAAGGGAATTGAAAAGTTCTCTACGTGCAGGCCAGCATAGTCCATTCTGATAATGATCTTGAAACTTAGTTGGTCAAGTGATGGTCTGGTGTGCATCATCCTGGTCTTCGTCATCCTGCTTCTGTGGCTGAAGGTCAGCAAGTCTCCTGGACCCAACTTAACAGTTGGAGTCTGTATCTTCTGACGTTAATTCCTAGGATTCTTATATAAACATGCTGATTATCTACAAGCTGCATTAGTCACAGTCAGCATTTACAGCAACAATGTCAAAAGATTGGTAAGGGGGGGGGGGGTACAATTCCCAGTTAGAGTACTTTACATACTTTATCTCATTCAATCTCCAAAGCAACATTATTTCTATGAAATAAGTGCTATTATTATTATTTTTAATGTTTTTATTGACTTTAGAGAGGAAGGGAGAGAGAGAGAGAGATAGAAACACCAATGATGAGAGAATCATTAATTGGCTGCCTCCTGCAGGCCCCCTACTGGGGACTGAGCCTGAAACCCCAGCATGTGCCCTGACTGGAATCTAACCTGGGACCCTTAAGTCCGTAGGCTGACACTCTATCAACTGAGCCAAACTGGCTAGGGCTAGATGTTATTATTAATAACACTCTCATTTTCCAGATAAGGAACCTGAAGTTTAAAGTAGTTAAGCAATTACTCATAGGAATAAAGATAGTAAGCAGATGGGCTGGCATTTTATCTCAAAGGGTCTGACTCCAGAGTGTACACTCTAAACACTGCACTGTACCTTTTAAACCACGTGCCAAAAATAACACTCTTCACTCATCTGTTCAACAAACCTGCTGCCTGCCAGGGGCTAGTCCTGGTGCTGGTGATCCAACAGTGTTCAAAGCAACACCCCTCACCTCACAGAACTTACTTTCTAGTGTAGGAGACAGACGACCAAAAAATGTTAATATGCATGTACATTTTCTTTTTATTGTAGGGGAGAGCATGAATGCAGTCCCCCAGTACCACAAACAATGCAGCCGAGTTTCCCACATTTGGGGAGATTGCAGGAGTCAGCGCATCTGGAGTTCAGTGGATAAGCCACGCCTGGGAAAACCACCTCTGTGATCATGATCTCTCCCCTGCCAGGTAAGCATGTACGTGCTTTTTCAGTGCCTACCGTAATGAACATTAAGAGAGCAGGTAAGTAGCTGGAGACTGGCTAGAGAGGAGAGCTATTTTAGATCAAAGGCCTTCCTGAGATGACGCTTCAGCAAATACCTGAATGAACTCAGGGAGTGAGCCATGAGAAAAGGCATTCCAGGCCTGAGGAGGAGGAAGTGCCAGGATCCTGAGGTAAGGCTAGAGTGGGGGTGGGTGCAGAGGAGGGGAAAATGTGAGGCCATAAAGTTGGCAAGGGAGGCAGGGCTCTATCAGGCTATGTCTCATAGGTAAAAGCTTTAGCTGTTGTTCTAGGAGTGAGGGGAAGTCCTGGGAGCATCTTGAGCAGGAAAATGGCAAATTGTAACTCACATTATATTACCTTGCAATAGAGCCTGGGCGTTGGATTCTGGGGCCACTGGACATTTTTCCAGTATTCTCTAAAACGGAGATGCCATGTGGCTACTGAGCACTTGAAATGTGGCTGTCCATATTGAGATGTGCTCAAAGTGTTTATGGATTTCAGAGACTTAGTGCCAACAAAGGAATGCAATACATCTCGTGAACAAGTTTTTATATCTACATACAGTACATTGACATGATAATACTTTTGATATCCAGGGTTAGATCAATATAACATTCAAATTAATTTCACCTGTCTCTTTTTACTTTTTACAATGTATGTACTAGAAATTTTAAATTACATATGTGGCCGTGTCATATTTCCATGGAACAGCATTGGTCTAGACTAGGGGTGTCAAACTCAATCAGAGAAGGGGCCAAAATCTAAAATCCAGCCTAAATTGCGGGCCGAATGGTTTACTGAACAGTCATAAACTGTCATTGTGATGGAAACGCAGCGGAGTGCAGTGATGACAGCGTGGTGCGGGCCACATTGCAAGGCCTGGCGGGACGGATTTGGCCCACGGGCCTTGTGTTTGACACATGTGGCAACCACTCTCAGCTTCCCAGTGCTGTGTAGACAAATGAAGTAACTGGCATAGGGCTGAATTTTCATAAGGAAACATACTGTGTAACATCAAGATAAATTATTGAGAGTAATAGCCAAAAAATGTACTGTTCCTTATAGGCCAAAGGTAATGTCACTAACTTGGTAGTGGCTTTGTGTTGTTCTCTCAAGAGTGGTAATGAAATTGCACAATCATGTGTAATATCTCTCCCCCACCCATTCCATCCTTATCTGGTTGCTCCCTATGACCAAAACAGCATATTTTTTAAATACCTGGCCCATGTGAAGAATGTAATTCTCTAACCAGAGAATATTTTCTCTGTGCGAAGTACTCTCAGTGCTGCATACGTTGGAACCTCAGCCTATTTAACAAAAAATTCTAATTATCTGGTTTACTCAACCAAGCAGATTTCAAATGTCAGTAATTGTATCTATAATTATAGAATACTCTCGGTTCTTTTATATTTAATTCTAAATATGGTTGATTAGAATGTACCTACAGTAAAAAAAAAAAATTGCACGTATGTCCTAAGAAAGTTGTGTGTGTGTGTGTGTGTGTGTGTGTGTGTGTGTGTGTGTTTATGTCTATGGACAGCCCCAAAGTGTTATAAATCAAATCAAATTTTGATTTACATATGACAGCATTAAAATATTAGAAGTGTCACATGATCTCACTCATTTGTGGAATATAATGAACAACATAAACTGATGAACAAAAATAGATCCAGATTCAGAGAAACATTGAACAGACCATCAAACCTCAAAGAGAAAGCAGGGGAGAGGGTGGGGATAAGAGATCAACCAAAGGACTTGTATATATGCATATAGCATGTCCAATGGACACAGACAGTAGGGGGATGAGGGCATGTGCTAGGGATTGGGGGGTAGGAGCAGGTGAGGAGAGGTCAATGGGGGGAAAAGGAGACATGTAATACTCTCAACAATAAAGAATTTAAATTAGAGGGGTGGGGGGAAGAAAAGAAAACAGTGTCAGATGAAACCTCCCTCATCTCTTTTGCCTGCTCACTTCTGCTCTCATTTCTTTTTTCTCTCCTGTTAATGCATGGACAGGCCTTTGCTCTCAATTTTCAGTCTTAACCCTATGCTCTGGATTCAGTCTCCTTCTCAAGACTTCATTGCTTTGCTTGTCTCTATCTTCTCATGTCACCATCTCCTACCCTACTGGATCATCTCCAACAATAAACAAACAGCTCTGAAATTTCCTATCTTTAAACTCTGTCTCTCTGTCTCTCTGTCTCTCTGTCTCTCTGTCTCTGTCTCTCTCTCTCTCTCTCTCTCTCTGTATCTCTCTCTCTCTCTCTCTCTCTCTCTCTCTCTCTCTCTCTCTCTCTCTCACACACACACACACACACACACACACATGTGCATGCACATGTCCCTCTTTTTCTTCTCTTTATAGCTTCTCTACTCCCCATCAGAGTAAAATCTTTTAGAAAGGTTGCCTATAACTCTGTTTCCATTAGCTTTCCTTCCCTCAGTGAAATTGTTCTTGTCAAGGGCAAGGTAAGACCTCTACAAAGGCAAATGCAGAAAGCTTTTCTGTCTCCATCTCACAGTGCTCTGGTGGTACATGTAGTACAGTTAGCCCTGCCCTCCTTGGAGTATTCTTCCCTTGACTTCCATCAGGCTATACTCTGGTTTTCCACCTGCCCACCTGGCTACTCATTCTCAATCTTCTCTCTAGCACATTTGTTCCTATCACACTTCTTCCAGTAAATGTTGTGGATCATCTGATTCCTTGGTCTCTTCTCTTTATCTACTCTCTCCCTAGGTGCTCTTAATCATTCCCATGGCTTAATATGCCCTCTATTGCTAATAATATCCAAATGTATATTCCAAATGTGAATTCCAGATTCGTATATTCATATAGTTGAATCTCAACTATGTATCTCAAACTTAACATGTTTACAAATAAAATATTGATGTATTCTTTCCAAACTAAGAATAATAAGACAAAGAAGGGGGGGGGGGGGAAGAGAAGGAAAAAAAGAAGAGACAAAAGAAATACTGTTTGTTTGTTTTTGTTTTTCGTTCTAACCAACAATCAAAAGTTCCTTACCTCCCATATTTAATAATATTTATTCCATCAGCAAACTGTCTAGCCTTCTGTTTATCTCCACTACTGCTGCTCTAGTTCAGGGCACCACTATCTCTCAGCTGGACTATAGCTACATTTTCCCATTTGACCTCCTTGTCTCTCTGTTCCTGTACCTGTGCAATTCATATTAAAAACAGTGATCGTTTTAAATCATAAATCAGTTCATATCACTTTTCTGTTTGAACTCTTCAATGGTTTGGCAACTTCTCATTGCACTTGGAATAAAATCCAAACACCTGACCATAAAGAGTTGCAGCTCTTTATGGTTCAGCCCTTGCCCAAACCTCCAGCTTCATCTCGTGCTACCTGCCCTTCCCCCCCTACTCTTCCCCATCTTGGGGCCTTTGTACTTGCTGATCTTTCATATATATATATATATGTGTGTGTGTGTGTGTGTGTGTGTGTGTGTGTGTGTGTGTGTGTGTGTGTGTTGATTGGCTGCCTCCTGCAGGCCCCACACTGGGAATCAAACCACAACCTCCTGGTTTATAAGTCAATGCTCAACCACTGGGCCACACTGACCCGGCTGTACTTGCTGATCTTTCTATCTGGAATGCTGCCAGACTCCAATCTCTTCCCTTCATTTAAATGCCAGGCTTCTATTCATCCTTCAAATCTCAACTGAAATGTCATCTCACAGAGCCTTTCCAGACTATCTCTTTTAAAACAACCTCACCCTTTCATTCTTTTACAAGGCCTTGTTTGTTTCTTTCCCAGTATTTGCCCCAATTCTAAATACGTATTTTTGTATATTTGCTTTCTTGACTCTCAGCCCCTGCCCCTCATTCATTTCATTCTAGATAAGAGAACTGACATGCTGTTTGAGATAAGATACTGGGTGCTTTATCCATGACCCTCCTCCCTTCCCTTAGAAGCTAGCCTGGGTGCTGAGTGTGTATCTGTCTGCATGCGCTTGTGAGGAGTTTCATGAGAACACGCCTGTGCTGGCCTAGCACTGCCTGGCTGAGCGCAAAGTCCTGTTCAGGACTGACGTGTTAGGAAGTCACTGCGATGATGCAGCTACGTCATGACCAGCAGCTCCATCAGTAAAGAATGCTGACATTTTGATCAGGCTGTCAGTGTCTTTGGAGATCAGGTAGAGGAAAGAGAAATGCTATATTTTGACCAATATTTCCTCCTGAAATTAATGAAAATCTATGGCTTTTCAATCTCCTTAAGCAATCATTTTTTTCTTTAAACGATGTCCCAATATGCCAACAAATTAGTCCCAATATGCCAACAAATAACAAAATAAATGCAGAGATGTTCTGATTATAGTAGGGACCATATGAATGGTCACTTTTTATGTAATAAGTATCAGGAAACTGGTTCAGTTTAACCAACAATAAGAAAAATTCATTGGTTCACATAACAGAATATTTGAGAATTTATTTGCCTCACAAAGAAGTTGATCCTGGGTGAAGTGACCATGACTAGTTCTCAGTTTCTTTCTCTGCATTTCTTGGCTCTGCCAAGAACTCTGAGAAACTCAAGATGGAAAAAGAAATTGTACTACAAACAGTGTTGGATCTTTTTTTAAAGAGTTCTCTGCCCTTGTGGTGGCAAGATAGCTGCCAGAGACTTTCGGCGCAACCTTACTCACATCCAGCAGTAAAGAAAGCATCTCTGAGAGAAGCATCTGCCAATATATAAGTATTTTAAAAAATTATATGCTTTCTTTCTCCCTAGAAGCATGGGCAAAATCTCTTGGATTGAATTATGTGCTTGAACCAATTAATTCCTACAGTCAATAATATGACATATACTGGACTAGGTAAAAAAACAAAAACAAAAACAAAAACAAAAAACAGGTCTTAGCTCTGGCCAGGTAACCTCAGTTGGTTAATGTGATGTCCTCATACACCAAGGATGCAGGTTTGATCCCCAGTCAGGGCACATACAAGAAT